GACTTCAAAAATCCTCAAATGCCAAGTTTCATACCAATCCGGTTAAAATTAATAGACATTAGCTGTCATTTTGGATCCGCCATTTTGAATTTTGAACTTTTTGGTGTCAGATTCGTTATCAGCTACCTTGAGAACTCTTAAGTACCAAGTTCTAAACAAACCCGCTGTTGTGACCGAGGGATGGAATGGTATTAATAATACTTTCCGTACGTGGCACTTGCTATATTCTATCTTGTACAGCGTCTGTTCTTACTACATAACTAACAAAAAGATGCACGCTATTTTTGATTGCCATTCATACCTCTGGCTCGCTTACTCTCTCCTGAACCATAGACTACTGAACTTAGTAGCGCCACTACAGTCTCCCCCACTTAATTGGAATACTTAAATGTGTCGGTATCCTTTATTGAATATAATCATCCAAATATCTGGGTTGCCGGCGTGGTCTGTCTGACCGTCGGATAGGTCCCAGTCTATCCGGCCTTCGTCTCTGGGTTTGTATTACTGGCTCCAGTTGTGGATCCGGTTGTTGGTCCAGTTGTGGTTCCGGTTGTTGCGCGACGTCCAATCCAGGAACACCTTCAATTGATGAATGTCTGGATACCGGGTTATCGAAACTAAATCGGACTTGCTTGACTTGAGTGCTACGAAGCTGGTCCACATGACGTTTTAACGTTAACCCCGAGTCTAGTCGAACGACGTAGTGTAGAGCTCCCAACTTTCTGAGAACAGAGCCAAAAATCCATGTGAACTTGTTCCGTAATTCACGTGATTGAATCCTCTCTCCCACTTTAAATGTTCGGGTGCATGATGGTGTAGACGCGTTACTGGAAGGCTTATAAGGACGTAAAGCATCCAATTTGATGCGCAGTTTGCGATTTAAGTAGAGCTCTGCAGGTGATTGTCCACAAGCTAATGGAGTTGCTCGATAGCGCAGAAGTATCTCCTGTAGTTTGGTATGCAGCGAACAATTATTATCCGCGAGGGCTTTCAGACATAATTTCAGGGTCTGGACTGTTCTTTCGGCAAGACCGTTGGTAGCGGCATGTCCTGGCGCAATAAACTTTTGAAAAATTCCGTTTATTTCACAATAAGACTTAAATTCTGTGCTTGTAAATATTGTAGCATTATCTGAGACAAGCATTTGTGGATATCCGTGACTGGAAAAGATATTATCCAGCAGTTGGATAGTACTGTTAGATGTAGGTGTTGAGGCTAATGCCTTGATTTCAAGCCATTTCGATTTTGCGTCAATGCATACCAAGAAATTGTATCCATCTAAAGTGGCATAATCGATATGGATGCGTTCCCAATTATTCTTAGGTTCATCCCAGGGATGCAGTGGAGCTTTTGGCGGATTTGAACGCAGTAGAGCACAGGACTTGCATGATTTAACGATGTCTTCGATAGCCTTATCGATTCCCTTCCAATAGACATAACGTCGGGCGAGTTGCTTCATTTTGGTAATCCCGATGTGGGTTGCATGTAGTTTTAGAAGTACCTGTTCCTGGAGATTTTTGGGAATGACTACGCATTCATTTCTAAATAAAATGCCATGGTTCAGAGTGTATGGTGAATCAATATCCTGAGTAAGAATATCCTGTTTGATAGATCCTAGTTCAGCATCTTTGTCCGTTTCCGTGATAACCATATCAGCTGTGAGACGATCGGTTGTTATACTGGAAATTGATTCAGTACAAATTTGATGTACCTCTTCTGCTAATAATGTTTCCATTGAGCTAGCATTTTTCCGGATTGATGCTCTGGATAGACAGTCAACATTTACGTTTGCTTCTCCACGTTTAAACTTGACGGTATAGTCAAATCCTGATAAAAATGCTGCGTATCTGAGTAATCGGCTGGATGTTATAGCTGGTAAATGCTTTTTATGATGAAAAATTCGAGTCAGTGGTTCGTTATCCGTAACGAGTGTAAAGTGTCGACCGAAAAGGTAATTAAAAAAATGATTGATACCAAAGACTATGGCAAGAGCTTCTCTGTCCAACTGGCTATAATTACATTCGGCTACCGTCAGAGATCTGGACGCATAAGCGATTGGCCTTTCTTGTTCGTCGATAATGTGGCTCATTATTGCGGCAACTCCTGTGGGGCTTGCATCGCAGGATAATATTATTGGAAGATCTGGATCATATGGTACTAGTATTCGATCACTGGCCATTTTATTTTTGAGATGCGTGAACGCAGCTTCACATGTAGCTGACCATTTAAAATTATAGTTCTTCTTAAGTAGAGTTCGGAGTGGTATCGTTTTCGTGGAAAGGTCTGGAATAAACCGTGCATAGTATGTAAGTAATCCTAGGAACCGACGAACTTCTTCCACATTTTTGGGTCGCGGCATTTCAAGTATTGCTTGAACTTTTGCTGGAGACTTTGAGATCTGGTTGTGTTGGACTACATGACCAAGGTATTCGATTTTTTCTGCGAAGAAAATACACTTTCCTCGATTTATGTGGAGGTCATAAACTTGAAGCCGGGCTAAACATGCGTGAAGATTTTGTAGGCATTCTTCCTGTGTGGCGCCATGCACGATTACATCGTCGAAATAAGATTCCATCTTTTTCAAATCTTGAAGAATTTGCTCCAATATGCGATTGAATTCAGCTGGTGCTACTTTTATTCCGAAACTCAATCTGTTCATACGATACGTACCACGATGTGTAGTAATTGCTTGAATTTGGCTGCTAGTATAGTCTACCGGCACATGTAAGTATGCCTTATAAATATCAAGTTTACAAAAGTATTTAGAATGTCGTAGACGGTTGAGGATGTCCGGGATATTCCGAAATGGGTGTTTTGACGTCACTAGACGTTCATTTACCCCAACTTTATAATCGACGCATAGGCGTACGCCCCCATCCTTTTTTGGAATCACTACTAGAGGCGAGCCCCAATCACTTGCATCTATTTTTGAAATAATTCCTTCTTTTTCTAGATTATCGAGTTCTTTTTCAACTCGTTCGCGCAGAGCGAAAGGTACATTACGTTCTTTAGTATAGACTGGAGTGGCTTTTTCGCGTAATTTCAGAGAAACTGTGTGATTTGGAATACAACCTATCTTTTGTTCAAAAACATTTGAATATTGTGTAAAAAGATCATTAATCGAGTAAATTGATCCAGGAGTAGAGGTCCGCGAACCAGTTTGCATGTCTGTATCAACATCTTCGAGTTTTATTCCTAAGCGGCGTATCCATATGCGGCCTAGGATGGCTGGACGACCTTCTGGTACAACATATATTTCTTCTGATGATTGGTGTTTTTTATATGAAACTTCGATGTTTGCTTTACCCTTAGAAAAAAACATGTCATTAGTATAAGTTCGAAAACATATATTAGTAGGTGTCACGGATATGTTGAGATTTAATTTCCGGAATTCGTTTTCTGGTAATAGTGTATATCCCGTTCCGGAATCGACTTCGAATACTGCTGGTTTCCCATTTAGAAGTACAGTTGTGAAGTACTTTTGTGCGTCAATTGTTGAAATTCGTTCGGCTGAGCTGTCATATAAATCAATAATTGCACAATTTTGTTTACTATCTAAAGAATCAACAAAAATTTTATTAATACCGAGAGTAATATTCTTATTCGAATCATGTACATACTTTGTAGTGTCTTCCCCATTATTAGAACTAGCATTTGCGTTTGCTTGCTTTTTTAGCCCTTTTTCGTTCAATAATGTTGTGATACATACCTTTGCAATATGCCCTGTTTTCTGGCATGAGTTACATTTGAGCTTATACCTATCCGTTTGACATTCACTTATGTGATGGTTATTCTTACCACACCTGAGACATAATCCTGCAATACCGAGAGTAATATATAATCAATCCTGGATTTTGATTTTGGTCTGGAATATGAGCGATGGCGATAATTTGCCCAGTAAGCAAGGAACATTAAATCAACATTTAGAAACATTAATTCCATGTAAACTTTCTTAACGTTTTTCCATAATGTTTTATAAATATTGTAATTATATTATTTAATAATATGGCATTTTTTAATATCATAGAAACGTTGTGAAAATATTAGTTTAATTATATTTTCTATGTTAGTTTAACATTTTTATTTGTGTAAATGCAACATAGATGCAATGTTTCTAATTTGTTACAAATTTTATTTTTAGACTAATGTTCTAGCAATAAAATTTTTCTGTTGTTAAAATGTTTCCTTTGAAACATTATAATTATATATTATGGACTTGGTTAGGTGACGCGTGGACGAATGGTTGTGTGAACGAGAGCGGATACTTTGTAAGAGTATTTTAGAGAGATAAGTATTGCGAAGATAGAGAAGTCGAGAGTAGGGAGAGGAAAGCGAGAAGCGTGTAGAAGCGGCAGAAGTGAAGGCGGAAAGTAGAGCGTGCGGAGAGAGCTAGGTAAGAAAGAAAAAAATAGGCAGGCGGGCGTAAAGTGAGGTTAGAATAGGTAGGAAATCGACCTGATATAAGATAGGATATAAAAGATGTCAGGAAGGGGAGGCAAGACTAGCAAGGGAACGAAGGATGATAAGCAAAGGAAGCTGGACCAAGAGGAGGATAGGAGTGGTAAGAAGGTTAGTTTTGTGGAGGCATTGAAAGATAAGAATTGGACATTTATTCAATGTTATGTACGAAACATTATATTGAATATAAGAAAAAACATTTGTGCAACATTATTCACAATGTTAAGGCACTTCCATTCCAACGTTGTAATAACCTTAAAATTGGTGTCAAAGTTTGTTCATAATGGCGTTGATTACAACGTTAAAAACCACATACTGAACAACGTTATACGTTATTGAGTAACGTTATAATAACGTTATACCACGGTCTTACATACAGGTCTGGTAACTCATATGGTGGGGGTAGGTCGCTTAGCGAAGAAATTTTGTAGTTCTTGTAATGGCCACAGCGTTGCAGTCTATGTTCTTTTGGTGGCGAGGGACGCTGGAGGCCGAGGGGATATGTCGAGTTTACCGTGCATGGGACAAAGACAGACAGATATCCCTCCCGGCCTCCAGCGTCCCTCGCCACCAAGAGAATTTCCTCGCTAAGCGACCTACCCCCACCATCGAAAATTAGAGGCAGTCCCCGGACCTGTATACAAGACCGTGCGTTATACTAATGTTTTCTTCCTTACTGGGTGGTGTTTTTGGCCGTGTCCGAGTACAATTTTTTTGATATTGGTGTTGGTCGCGTCTGGATCTATTCTGGGAAGAGATTTTATGAATATCGGATGTGTCCTTTCCCGTTGAAGGTTGTTGCTTAGAGAGTGCCTGAGTTTCGAGTCTGGAAGCTTCTAATGCGATTGCTTTGGTTAAAAATTTCGAGAATTCAGTAATATTGGCCTGGAGAAGTTGTTCCTTAATCCAATTATCTTTAAGACCTCTGATAAACTGTGTCCTGAGAAAGAGATTGGCAGCAGAGACTACTTTATTACATTCACAGGTAACATTAAATTTGCATTCTGCTAGGTCACTTTGCAGTGTAGCTACAAATTCAGGAATAGTCTGGCCTTCCTTCTGATATGTACTGAGAAAATAATGCTGCGAGACAACTACGCTTCTGTGCGGTAATAGCATTTCCTGGAGAGATTTCTTTAATTGTCTATAGGTTAGGTTCTTAATAGGTTTGTCCGGGCCCAAGAGTGCTGAGAGGTTATTATAATGCGTTGAACCGATTGAGACGCATAACAGTTGCGCTTTCCTCTGAGATATTTTTCATGGCTAGGTAATTTTCGAATCTTTCCAAATAACACTTGATTTTTTCTTTCGCCTGATCAAAATTTTCGAATGGCGGCATGTTACTGATAATCGGACTGAGGTTAGTTGGTTCATTCGGCTGTTGCTGTATTTTCTGTGCTCTTTGAGCAACAAGATTCTGTTGGCACTGATTAAATGTTGCTAGTAGTTGTGTAAATTGGTCAGAATCCATATTGAACAGTGAGCTGGATTGGTAATTCCTTCGTACTTAATTCGTTTTTAACTCGTCGCCAATTGTTGTGACCGAGGGATGGAATGGTATTAATAATACTTTCTGTACGTGGCACTTGCTATATTCTATCTTGTACAGCGTCTGTCCTTACTACATAACTAACAAAAAGATGCACGCTATTTTTGATTGCCATTCATACCTCTGGCTCGCTTACTCTCTCCTGAACCATAGACTACTGAACTTAGTAGCGCACTACACCCGCCGAAATCTCTATTTTTGGCCACTTTTTTAGGCTTGCCATCCCACTGTGTAACGGGACGAAACGGATGGAGGACAATCTCATCGGCACCTCGGCTCTCCCGGGATCGTCAGGCGGCAATGGCTCGTCCTGATCGGGAACCTCGCAAGTCGGGGCGGTTACACGGCGGCAATGGCAGACCGGGGTCCTCTCTCTTACAAGTCCGGCAACAGGCTCATTCCCGAATTTCCGCGATCGTGGATCGATGGTTCGGGGCCCTCCCCGCGGCTGCGCACGCAGGGCGCGTGCCCCCGCGGCCAATCGCGCGACGGCACGCGACAACGCCGGTAGCGATATTCGCAAGACCGTGTCGCGGGCGCAGGTACCCGCGGTATCGCCAAATTTTATCGCAGCGTTCTCTCGATGGGGCTGTCGCAGCGGCTCCCCCGCTGACGCCCCTCCGGTAGAGTGCCACGGGCCCTGGGCTCCTTCCTCCCGGCTCGTTGCTCCGCGCGCTCCGTTTTCGATCCGCAAACGCCTTTCCATGGTGCTCGCCGCGGAATTTGTCTGTTAGTCGGGCCTCTCATCTCTCCTCTGCCCTCGCGTCCTTCCGTACTCATGCGCTCGTGTTCATAATAACAAAAAAAAAACAAAATAATAAGCTATAACGTCCGAACGACAGAAACGATAACGGTCGCCTCTCTGGAGACTACGGCACGGTTTTCCCTATTCCCCGCCTGTCGCGTTGAGGGAGGAACCCGGTGGACGCGCACGAGGGACGGCAACGTCACACTAGACAGTGTAGTGATTGAGCGAGTTACTTGTAAATTTAACTCAAACGACAAAGTGCAAGGAAGCAGTCCCGCGACTTTTGACTTTTGTCTTCTGGTTGGAGGCGATAGGCCATCCCCTCGCCTTTGAGTGAATTCATATCTTTAGAAGAAGACGAAGTACAGAATTGTTGACATGGCAGATCACATTCCAGACGAAATATTAGACTTATTTGAGATTTCAGATGATGAAGAATTACTAATACCTTTACTAATTCCTCCTGTTGTACCTATACATCCACATGAAAAACGGTATGGTAAACGTAAAAATTATTTGTACCTACTAAACTGTAATAAAAAAAATTAGTGAAGAATTAATTTGTATGTATAATTACAAATAATGAAAATACTACAGGTGGTCGAACTTGTAATAAATAATATGGAACGTATACATCATATCAAAATTAAGAATTATATCGAAGACATCGTCAGAGGTTATGTTCGTAAAGATTTTGTTATGCATTTTCGCTTATCGCAATAGCATATGAATTAATTGCACGTTTCGAGATATCACATATTTTTACATCTTTGCAAGGTATTTTATTAAATTTTAAAATAAAATAATTAATAATTATTAATTAATAATTATTTAATTATCTTAAATCTTAAAATCACACTTTAATTGAAGTTATGGTAATTCTACAAAATAGGGCCTTTTCCGAATTTTGATATTTTCTTGCGGTTTTCTTGGTAAAAACCTTTGTTGTGACTCCGACAGTGATAATCAATCGAGGGAGCCCGAAAAATATGCACCTCGAGTGACCTTCAGAAGGTTTTAGTGAATGAACTTTGAATTTTCAGTTAGATTCAATCCAGTCTCCTGCCTCTCTTTATCCTCAAGTTTTCAAAATAACCGGATCATCGTCTTCCCAAATATTTTCTGTCCCGTTAAACGGTGACTTTGGTTCTCGCTCGCTCGCGAAACACATAGGAACACTTTTATCACTCGTCATGGCGCCGTGCCTGAGCGCGCGAAATCTCAGACCTGTCATTTGTGAAATATAATCGCTTATTATTTAAAAACTATCATAGCCTCGACATTTTTTTATTAGATGCTTTGTTGTACTGTTCTTCCATATCTGTCCTCCCATCTCCATCTGTCGTACGTCATGGAAGTACAACATGCGTGGAGACAGTATGTTCCGTTCCCCCTGCGGGGGGAGGGGGGGCTCCACCTCGTTAAAATATAACCCTACCCAAACTATGTCCGAGGTGTGGAGCGAATCTCGCTTCACGTGGAAAGTCGCAAACCCATGTGGAACAATACAACAGTGGAAGTGCATGCTTTGTTGTAC